TGTGTGAATTTATGGCTTATTTCGGCTTATCCGCCTAACAATATACCAGGAGTGGGTAATGATGTGGTGTGATTGGGCTGCATTCCAATGGACAGAGCCAGGATTAAGTCTCATACACTATGTGTAAAACATATGGTCTTGTGCACTCAGACCTCACATTCACAGATATACACATTTTTACGACTTCCATTCTCACACTAAATCTGTTAATATATTTTTTATTTTCTCTCACTTGATTTCTCTTCTTTCTCCCTGTCCCCCCAAGCATTCAAACATATACACACAAACTGAACAGAGATGGTCTCGTAACAGGGAAGACTTTAACTCCTCTTTCTCTCTTACATCCCTTCTGCCCAGCGATCCAATGCTAAGTAATAGAGCTACTTTGCAGGGGGTGGGGGTGGGGGGGGTAGCTATTTTGGTTGTACTGGAATCACTGGGACAGAACTTAAAATTAGTAACAGGGGAACAGTAATGGTTCCCTGTGTCCAGATGATCTGGGCAGTGGAAAAAAGAGGTTGAACTCTCAGGGGTCAGAGGTCAAGTAAATGAAGCTATACTTGACATGCCTTTATAAGGCAAAGTAGTAAATAACCTTATGTTAGCCTCAGTTAGAGATAAAGAAATAATTAAAACAAGCCAGACTGCTGTCTCTTCTTCAAGAGGTGCATGAGACACAAAGCCTATGGTGGATTTGTCACTAAGCTTGGAATGCAACAACCAAATATTTTCTCCAACTCAAAATTATTGTTTTTCACCTGTTGTAGATATCTTATTTGTACAGAACCAAACATTTTAGAAAAATCAAGCCTATAAAACATTATTGCAATCAGAATTTCAATGCAGTTAAAATATTAAAAAATAGGGAAGAGAGCTCTGTGCATGCATATTTAAAGCCCCATTTGAATTTAGTAAGGATTATTCCCAGGCAAGTAGATATAAAACCAACGCTTAAAGTAGCAGTCTTAACACATTCATAATCTGGTGTGAATCTCATTTGCATTCCTGGAGGTTCCTGTTAAACCAACATATATGAACACTCAAAACTATGTCAGAAAGATAACTGATGTGTTATTAATATGATCTTTCTAATGTTTGTCTCCATTGATCAGTGAAAAAAATGAACTTTATATTGTACATTAATCATTTTAAGATTAGGAATAACTTTTAGCTCTCTTTCTTATCCGCTTGCTTCTACTTATGCTGTCATTTTTGAATTACTTAACTCACCCATCATAAGTTTTAGCTACTAGGCAGTATTTTCTTTTAAAAAAAACCTCTTTTACCTACACTAATTTCTTTTTGAAATTTGAGTATGTTACTGACTGGTATCCATGATGACTGGGATTATGTCATAAAATGCTAAATGCTAAAAAGTCAAACTATAGTTCCCCTTAAGGCAAAACTGCCATTGGATATCAACTGTCAATTTGAACTTAGAAAATGTATCTAGATGGAAAATATTGAGAGAAAATTAAGCCACAAATGAGGGCTGTGATAGAAAAAAATCATTGTATCTCTTGCCTTCTACACACTAACACAGCGGCCCCCAATCTTTTGGGCACGAGGGACTGGTTTCATTGAGAGAGGTTTTTCCATGGACTGGAGGGGACATGGTTTCATGTGCTGTCTGCATCCCATGGATGGGGCTTTGTTTCTGTGGACTGATTTCTGGCATGTCGCAGACCAGTGCCAGTCCACGGACCGGGGATTGGGGACCCCTGCACTAACAGAGCAGGGGTAGGATTCAGAAATTTTAGCAACTGGTTCTCTGCCTGGTTGCTGGGTGTGGTCTACCTGGCTTCCTGCATGTGTGTGTGTGTGTGTGTGTGTGTGTGTGTGTGTGTGTGTGTGTGTGTGGGCATTTTTGCCCTTCCTCCCCAGACTCCAGAGGCTTTCCTTGAGCCTCCGGGAAGGTGAAAACAGCCTCTGGGCTCTGGAGGCCCTCCGGAGGCCGGAAACAGGCCCGTTTTTGGACTTCCGGTACTTCTGGTAGGCCCATTTTCACCCTCCCTGGGCTCTGGAGGCTTTCCTTGAACCTCCAGGAAGCCGAAAACAGGCCCCCCGCGCTCTGGAGGCCCTCTGGAAGCTGGAAATGTGCCCGTTTCTGGACTTCCAGAAGCCCAATTTTTTGCCCTCCCACTGCATGGGCCCTGCACTTACCTGGCATCCAAAACAGGCTGCGTGAAGACTCCTGGGAGGGGCGGGGTGGGCGGGGTCACTAGTCCTTGCAACTACTGGTTCGGTGAACCAGATTAAAATTAACATCCGGTTAGCCTGAATTGGTTTGAATCAGCTGAATCCCACCCCTGTAACACATCCTTCTCTAAATGTAGTGGCTTTCAAATGGCTGAAGAAAATGAGCATTGCCTTCAAACACCTTAGAGTAGTATCAGGAACTACAAAGTCTGTATTACTTTGAAACTCTGCCCCCACATCCTCCTTTCTAGCTGTGCTTCAATTTCTGATGACAGTGATTAAAGGAATGATCTTTTCCTGTGTCAGCGGTATTGGCTGATGGAGAACAGCTCCTCTTGCCCACAGCAAGTCTGCCATTCTTTGATTCCTTTGTTCTTAGCCATCCTCCTTCTCATGAAGGACCTGTTTAAATATACAGGTAGTCCTTGACTTACAATCGGTCGCTTAGCGACCCTTACAAGTTATGACTGACCCCAAAAAAGGAGATGTATGACTTGGATTTGAAGTTCTAATGGTCGGGTTACCTTTGCAGTCATGTGACTGAACTTCGGACACTCAGCACTGTGGCCACATTTATGGCCATTTGCAGTATCTTGCTGTCATGTGACCGCATTTTATGATAGTGTTAGCTCATTTAATGACTTCGGCATTTGCTTTGGTTTTTGTTAAGGAAAGCAAGAGAGCCGTGGTGGTGCAGTGGTTAGAATGCAGTACTGCAGGTGAACTCACTACTCACTGCCAGGACTTTGATCCTGATCAGCTCAAGATTAACTCAGCCTTTCGTCCTTCCAAGGTCTGTAAAATGAAGACCCAGATTGTTGGAGGCAATGTGCTGACTCTATAAACTGGTTAGAAAGAGCTGTAAAGCACTATGAAATGGTATATAAGTCTAAGTGCTATTGCTATGTTCACTTAATGACTGCCGCAAAAAGTCATAAATTCAGTTTGGTCTCATGACTGTTGTGACATATTACCATAATGATCAAGCTCCATGATGGCTGTATGTTGAGGTAGTCCTTGACTTATGACTATAATTGGGGCTGGCACTTCCATTGCTAAGGGATGCAGTTGTTAAGTGAGCCATCGTATGACTGCATCTGATTTTACAACCTTTTTTTGCCACAGTTGTTAAATGAATCACAGAGTCAATTAAGTGAAGCCAGCTTTCCTCATTAACTTCACTCGTCAGAAGCTGTCTGGGCATGTTGCAAATGGTGATCACATAACCCCAGAACATTGCAACCTTCGTAAATATACGCCAGTAATCAAACACACGAATCTCTGAACTTTGTTGTTTCCCTGCAGACATTCCATTACTAAAATAGGTGACATCATCAGTGCAGTGAATAATCACTAAAATGAATGGTTGTAAGTTGAGAACTATCTGTTGTGGACTTTGGAGAACATAGAATATTCCCTAAACTGAAAAATCAAGAGAAGAACTGACCTGTTGCTTTCTGGTTTCAATTTCCTGTACTGTCATTTTGTGCTTTGACCAAAACAGGAACTAATCAAAGAGAAAACATTTCCCCCTCCCCAAGGAAAAAGAGAGAAAGAGCAGTTGTGTGAGTGGGAAGTTTATCCTTATGAATCTGTTTTAAAACACCCCCCAACCCCCAAACTGTTCAAGGTTGTTTTATGTACTTTCTGACTAAATTTGCGAGAACTGCCCCCTTTTCTTCCTCCTTATCATATGGGAAAGAAAAACTTCCAGTTGAGGAGAAAGTCATATTGATTGTCAGTTTTCAAGAACTTCCAGCAGCTTTGCTGGATGCCCCCTCTGTGGTTCACAACCAGCAGCCAACCCCAGGGGTGAAATGTAAAATTTGTTACTACCAGTTCCATGGGCGTGGCTTGGTGGTGGTGGGGTAATGTGACTGGGTGGGTGTGGCCAACTTTTTTCTTTTTTAAACTTTTCAAAGCATTTTTTCTAATGCTTTGAAAAGCCTCTGCCGATCAGGCAACTCAGCTGGGATCGTCAGAGACTTTTCAAAGCATTTTTTTAACCACCTCTTCGGCCAAAAGGTTGCAGAAAAAAATGCTTTGAAAAGCCTCTGATGATCCCAGATGAGCCGCGTGATCATCAGAGGCTTTTTTTTTTACTTTTAAAAGCATTCTTTCATCGGAAGAGGTTGTAGAAAAAATGCTTTTAAAAGTTAAAAAAAAAAGCCTCTGATGATCGTGCGGCTCAGCTCAGCATGGGTGGGTGGGGTGTGTGTGTGCAGGGATTTTTGCTACCGGTTCTCCGAATCACCTGCTGCCATCGCTATCGGATCGGGCGATTCAGTCTGAACCGGGAGCATTTCCCCCCTGGCCAACCCCCTCCTCTCTCTCTCTGTCTGCTTTTCGGGCTGCTTTGTGAGAATCCTGTAAATTCTCAGGAACAAAGCATTGGGCTTCAGGCACCACTTTTTCCCAGCTGGAAGTTTGGGAGTAACCTTTCTTCTCTATTCATTGCCTTAACAAGGAACAACTGAGATGTATTTCAATTGTTCAGATAGCAAGCCTTGTCTCATGTCAAAATTAGATTGCACCTCTGTCTAGTAACCTCCAGCCTCTCTTTTATTTGTAAATCTCCCATGTTTTCCTAGTACTTCTTCCATCTTTGATTTTATCAAGGAAAAAGCCATTAAGGAGGCAGAGATGGGATAATTGTACAGTGATTTTTGAACATTGCATCCAAGAAAGCAGCTGATATCCTTTTACCTAGTTGTTGTCATTTCAAAACAGCTTATCCACCCAATCTATCCTGCTTCAATGCCACCCCATAATAGCTCACTGTTCAGAACATGAAAGCTCACCATTTATTTTGTTCCCTTGAAGGTAAAGATTTTCAAGGCTTGTACTGACTCGTGGGATCTTCTGAAGCTGGTTATAAGAGAGGTCAAGTTCCAGAATGCTGCTTGTGTTGAAAGCATTTGGGGAGAGGCCTTCATTTGTCAGGATGTTGTGAGACATTCGTACGTACAGCAATTTAGGGGAGACCTTGAAGTAATCATCAGGGACTGCATTTATGTGATTGTGCTCCAAATAGAGTTGTTCTAAGGAGCTTGGAAGCCCACCGGGGACTTTTGTGAGCTGGTTGTAGCTCAAATCTGCAAGGATCAGAGAGTTTAACCACTTGAGATTTGATCCCATTTCTTGTATATGGTTGTGGCTGAGATACAAGGCAGTAAGGTTGTCTAAGCCTTCAAGAGCATTGGATGGGATCTTGGAGATCTGATTATAAGCCAGGTGAATCTCTCTCAGTGATTGTGGCAAGGGGTGAGGCATTTTAGTCAGGTTGTTATGGTCAAGGTACAACCTTTCTAAATTCTTGAGCTTGGCAAAGACCCTCTTGCCTAATTTATCATTGGTTATTTGATTGCCATGCAGTGCTAACCACTCGAGGTTGGTTGCATTGTCAAAAGCTCCCTCTTGGATCGCCACAATTTGGTTATTCTGAAAGTAGGCATATTTCATTCGAGAAGGCACAAATGGAAGATACTTAAGATTGCGAGTATCACAATACAAGGCAGAAGAGAAATGAGGGGGGCATTCACATTCTTGGGGGCACTCCCTAGAAACAGGTGGTTCAGGGACAGGCTCTCCGACATAGGATCCAACTGGCTCAGAAGAGTAAGAAGAATATGGGGGAATCTCATCTTCATAATATGGTGAATAGCTGTAGGAAGATTGGCTGCGTAAATATTGCTGTAACCAGAATATGTCCTCGTACTGATCATCATATTGGCTCAAGGATATTCCACAGAAGCCAACTAGGATCAAAACAGAAGCCCAGTGCATTGTGCTGCAAACTTTGGTTTAACCTATAGAGTACAGTAAGAAAAAGAGAGAAAAAAAACAACCATCAAAAATATTAACTCAGGAAAACAAAGCCACAGTAGCAATAGCACTTAGACTTATATACTGCGTCATAGTATTGTACAGCACTTTCTAAGTGGTTTACAGAGTCAGCATATTGCCGCCAACAATCTGGCTCCTCATTTTACCAACCTCAGGAAGATGGAAGACTGAGTCAACCTTAAACTGGTCAGGATTGAACTCCTGGCAGTAAGCAGAGTTAGCCTGAAATACTGCATTCTAACCACTGTACCACACAGCGCCTTGCTAATTAGCAGCTATTAATGTGTATAAAAGGGACTGAGATCACTTATGAGTTAAATATATATGCTTTTAATACTTACTAATCTGAGTCAGGTTTATGGAACCAATAAAAGCAATTATTAGATTTTTAATGTCAGGCATAGAGACTTTAATTTGTAAGGTTTATAAACTATTCCAGTCAAAACCAACTCTGAGAAATATATAATTCCCTTCTTTGTAGATGTAGGAGATGACCTCTGGAAATACCATTTTCAATTTGTATGTTAGGACTGTATTTTAAAAATGTTCCTTCCCAGAAGAGTAGACTAAAATCATTTTCTCAGTATCTTGGTTTTACATGCATGCACACAGACACACTGGATATGATAGAAATAGAGCATTGTGTTGTAGTCTATCCAATTCTTAGAGAAAAGAATTTTGATCTAAGAACTTTCCTCATATTGCTTATCTTCTTTATTCTCTGTCTTTCCATATACATACCTATGGTTTTATCAGTGTAGAATGTAGCAGACCAACAAAACAGCCTATTAAGATGCTGAACTCACCAGCCTTCTGTAGTAGGGAGTGAACTATCCTGAACACAACCACTGAATGAAAATCTACGGATGGAGCAAGTGAACTAAGAGTAAGAGAACTAAGCAGGCTTCATCATAAGAGTAAGAGAACTAAGCAGGCTTCATCATTCTTTTCTTCACAGCAGAGGAGGTATTGAAAGAGCAAGTAGGACTTGCCCTTTCTTTCACCATTGTTACACTGCACATCTCTTCACTCACATAATTTCCTGGAGTTCCTTGGAAACAAAGATGCTTCTTGGATATGTAACTGATGGAAAACCCCTCAGGAGCAATTACACCCAACACCTCGGCCACCATTTTCAACCTGGCAACCAGGTGCAAGGTGGAACTATAATGAAAAGCTAATTTGGATCTCTCAGACACCTGAGATGGACCATCTTAATTGATCTACTATATCTACAGAAGTCAGGGAGAGCAATGAAGATATGTTTGACCACAAATTGATGTCTGTGTCCTCCATTTTCAGATCACATGTCATATTATAAGAATAAATTCCAAATGTATGGTCCTATTTGGGATATTGCAGTATAGGATGCTATAAACAATAAGGATTGAGCTTCTGTTTCATATTGATAGGAATACCAATAAAAGAGGGGTGCATAACATGAGGTTCTTGGGACTTGGAGTACAGGTCAATACTTCTTTCAAGCACTGTAATTTTTAGTGTAACAAAAAAGAACTTTGTTAAGCAGACATGTTGTAATGATTTCAATTGTGTTTAAAATAAAATGAAATTCAATAAAAAAAATTACAATAATCCAGGTTTGTCTTCCTTCTATTTTTTTTTTATTGCAACCTCATTGTACCACTCAAAAAAGTCTTCACCCTGAAAAATGTTGCATGTTACCTTAAATGTCTTCAAGATGCCTTGGCAACCTCACCAAGTGAGCACTTTAAGGAACACAATTAGTTTCATGTTACTTATGTTACCAGTTATATCAATGTTCTTCAAGGGAATGCCACTCATTTGAACTGGATTGCAGCTCATGTCATCCCTGCCAATTTGATTTATGCGAATTGACAATCCACACATTTGTAGAACATCACCTTGGAAAATCTGATTAATAAATCTTTGATATGCTGATTGAATTTAAATTAGCCAGTTAGCAGCTAATGGACCAGTATACATCAACAAAAAGACTTCTTAAAATAGCAAGGATATTTGAAAAGATCAACATTGTTTTAAGAATAATGTGCAAGTGAGAAAAAAAATAGCATTTAAGGAATGAAATGAGGAAACATAGACTTCCATCATCTCCCTAATTCTGGTCAGTAGAACTAAAGTATATTTCAGCTCCTTTGTACTAATAAGTAGAGAAACTACTTTCTCTACTTATTAGCTTGAGGAACTCCCTGGCATCTAGAGTAAAAAGTCATGTTGGGCAATTACTTATGCTTGAAAGCTTGTAAAACTGTCATTTGAGTTGACTAAAGATAGGAGATCTGTGTTAACTCTCAGCCTCCCTTATCATTGGTGTACTGGTTGGGGGTTGATGGAAATTATTATCCCATCATACCAGAAATTCTAGGAGTTCCACATTATATTATTGGATTATTTCCCCATTATATTTTATTTCAAAGGAAACTTCCTCATTTGAATAAGAAACTATGTCTTCATCTAATCACTGTTGTGCAAAACAGTATACAAAAATAAGAATTATTAACTGATGCCAAACTTCATTTCCTGAGATGTAACAACAAAGATGACAAGATCTGCATTCTGGTTAACCTTACATTTGACTAGGATGGTTATCTATTTTAGATGATACATTGTAATTTTTTTCTTTAGGTTCAGATTGACAGCATCATTATAAAAGTTGGCAACTTCTTGCCATCCTATCAATATCCTTCTTTTAAAAAAAGTTAACAGCTAGGTGATTTACCTTAATGATCAGTAGCAATGCATTCCTTATTTATTATTTATACATTCCAATCTCTATTTATTGTATATATATATTTATTCCATCTTTCAACTGTAGTTTCAGAGAAATCTATAAGATGAATAAAAGAATGAAAATATGAACACTGAAATTGAATTATATGAAAGACCAGAAAATAATAAATACAATAGAAAACATAGCAAGATTGAAATTATACGTGAAATTCTCAAGAAAACAGAAATAATTTTGCCATCATCAGAGGAAAACAATGCAGGTGCCAGTTCCAGGGAAGTCCATTCCTACCACTGGGCACCATGACAAAGAAAGTTGTTGGCAGAACATTTCATCTCAGAAACTGAAAAAAGGATTTAAAGAGAATTTTGAGATTGAGAATGAAGAAGACACTGTGGTCGCTCCATAAACTGAGTTGAGGTCACTTTTGGGGGATCTTCTACTGTATATCCATGAATATAGGGACTTTTGCATTGTAAAAAGTGCTGTGCTGTTTGCTTCCACTATTTTCAACATGTGGAAAACAAATTCAACTATAACAAGTGTCATAAATTTCCAATGATCTCTTCTTGCAAAGGAAGCCTGACCCTGTTACACAGTGTCCTTGGAACTTCTCAGTGTTTGGGGAACTGAGAACAAATACCAATATGTTATTGTGGTAGGGCGGGAACTGCTTCAGTGGATAGACATATTTAGCACAGCACATTGTCTAGAGTAGATGTAGGCATCAAAGGTTAATTGAACACAGTCCCTTATTATAATACTTTTATTTGGCTGGGCAGTCATCAGATTTCTGGAATGTCATTGATACGTGAGCAAGAGAGTTTATGGTAAATCTTTCTGCATTCTTGCCCATATAAAAAGAGAAAAACAGAGCAAATCGTATGTATATTGAGCACATATATAAATATGCGCACACATACATCACACACATATAATATGCAACATGTAACATACAACTTATATTTTATACAATGTATGTAAATATATACACAATCACATATACACAGTAGATACATATATACATACATTGTGTGTGTGTGTGTATATGTGTGCACATGGCAATGTGTGTATACTATCTAGTGGCTGGGTAGCATAGTAACTAGATACTGTTCTTTGAGATGAATCCCAACTGGATTACCAGTAGGGGTCTTTGGGCAAAGATTCTCTGACACTATACCTCCCTTCTTTGGATATGAGAGTGACATGAACTAAGAGATTTATGCCAATTTGGACATAATCTGATTAACAACACCTGTATCAGATGTTGGAAACCAAGACAAACCAAGACAATCTCATGAAAAATGGGCCATGGAACAAACCATACATGGACAAAAGAAGAGATCCTGGAATCTATGGCATGCATTACTCTGACTAGGTGGCTCAGTGACTAAGATACTGAGCTTGTCGATCAGAAAAGTCGGCAGTTCGGCGGTTTGAATCCCTAGTTCAGGTCTCCTGCATGAGCAGGGGGTTGGACTAGATGACCTCCAAGGTACCTTCCAACTCTATTACTGTTACTGTTAATCTTACTGCTATTATAACAGTAGACTTAATGAGAAGGGAGATATAAAATGTATGAAGGAATGATGGATAGACAAAAGACCTATATCCACAGTGAGATACAGCTAGTTACCCTATTTATCAACATAGCGTAAGAGGAAATTGCTGTCACAGTTTGAGGTAGACCAACTACATATTACACCCTGTATTGAAGGAGACTAGGAAGAACAATTGGATATGCAGCCAATACTTGACATTGGAACATCACAGCCATTCCCTCCACTACAATGCACAGCAGCTGATATAAAGCATAAAATCATGGATAAACTAACTATAGTCAACCCTCAAGACTAATTATCAAGACTGTGGAGACGTTCCATCAAATAGTATGCTAGAAGATGTCAATAGAACTCTCATGACAATCCTTACTATCATCATAACTCAAACCAATGAATTGGTATATAGTACAGCCATGTAACCCTGGAGAACAGCACTACAGCTCTCCACCCCCTTGGAAAATAAGGTTGGTAGCTAAAATCAAGGCAACTCAAAGAGAAATTAGTCAGCTGTGAAACTGCAGAAGGGTGTAGAAATGAAGGATAAGGCTCAGCTACTGAAAAATACAAGGGCCTGATTCTTTCAGAAGCCCTAGAAGCTAAACAAAGACTCACAACACAGCTACAAGCTAAAGATATACTGTACCCCAGGGAAATATAGACCAAGATGATAAATGCCCTGTTCTCCAAAGAATCATCCAAAATGTACTCCCAACTATAGTGCAATAACATAGTAACAGTAGACCCACTAACAGCAGAAACTGAACAGTACTCCTAGTACATATGTAAAATAAAATGAGTGGTTGGACTTTTCTAAAGACATTCCTAAAATTCTGTTTTCACTTTGCTATTATGGAGCGCTGAGTGTAGATTAATGAGGGGAAAAAATGAATTTCAACAACTGTAGAATCAGGCTGCAGTATAACAAAATTAACAAAAGTCAAGGGGTCTGAATACTTTCTGAATGCACAGTGTCTATGATTTAATACACTAACTTGGGCAGGGGGGCATCAGTCCTGCAATTTATGTAAAAAAATGTCCTTGTGACAAAGTAGAAACAAAGCATGTATAATGTGAATGACCATCCTAGCCAACAAGTTTCCTTTCATGCACATTAAAGTAATTGCAGGAAGAACGATTTTCATTCTTATGTATGAAAAAGCTGTAGAATATTCCTAACTGAGTAATGCTGCAGTTATCCATAAAGCCTTCCAGAATGGATTCCATATTTTTCTAATGTTCTTATGTTGACATATAATTCTGTGGCTTGCCAGGAGTAGAAATTTATGGCTTTTTAAACTTTTTTTTCATTTGAATCCTGTATAGTAGACAAAGTAGATATTGCTATTTCCCCTTGAGCTTCTCACTATTGTTTAAAGAATGAGAGATTGAATCCTCTTCTATTAACCTCTCATGTTAGGCTAGAAAAGCTTTTCTAGATGGAAATCTTGGATGAGAATCCTCCCAAGAGGAATAATTAGTATATTCCAAAACAAACATTTTGAGCACAGGTGGCAAAAATTCAGTTCAAAGACAACAGAATATGAATGAGGGAGCATGTTGTAAAAGAAGTCAGCAAAGATTTTCTTCACTGCCAACACTTCATCTTGTAGCATCCAGCTATAATTTTTTTCATGTGTTGCAGGAGAATTTAACATAAATCACTCCAAATGAACATTGGAGCCTATAGGCACTGGCCGTGCTCATTTGCAAAGTGCTCTAGAGATAAAATTATTCTTCTCAGTGGTGACCTGGATGCCACAGAACATACAGGTTCAAACGAAGATGTCCAATGTCTAATCTACTTTTATGAAGTATTTACCAGCATTTGAGGCCTAAGAATATGAACAAAATGCTTGAAGTTTATATTGACTAAGGAGACTAAGATAGATCTATTTCGGACTTATAAATCCTCATCAGTTAGCTACACCCTCATCCCATGTATCCTCCCTGTAAAGGTACAGTATTTGTTTTCTTTCCTTTTCGTAGGCTTTATGTGTATTTCTCTTTAGCCAGGTTCTTCCTACGTAAACCAAGATTTTTATGCAGCCCTAGTTCAGTGAAATCACAATCCACTAGTTTCTAGGCTTTTTTCAGGCAGCCAGCAAGCACCCTGCTTAGTCTCCCAATGGGCAGCAGGGTGCTTGCTGGCTGCCTGAAAAAAGCCTAGAAACTAGTGGATTGTGATTTCACTGAACTAGGGCTGCATAAAAATCTTGATTTACATAGGAAGGACCTGGCTAAAGAGAAATACATACATACATACATACATACATACATACATACATACATACATACATGCCTATATGTCTTTACAATCTCTGCCCCCTCGTAACTGATTGGTTTTAATAAAAGGAGGTTGATTAGATGAGCCCAGAATGTGGAAGATATAATTCTGTGGAAGGGGCAATTAATGGATGTCTTACAGGAGGCAGTATTGCATCTGCTGCTCAAATAATTTGGACCTTTAATCTGGATTTTTAATCATTTGGGAAGCATGTATCTTGGTGATCAAAGAATGCCTATTGTGCTAAAAATCTTGGTTTACGTAGGAAGAACCTGGCTAAAGAGAAATACATACATACATACATACATACATACATACATACATACATACATACATGCCTATATGTCTTTACAATCTCTGCCCCCTCGTAACTGATTGGTTTTAATAAAAGGAGGTTGATTAGATGAGCCCAGAATGTGGAAGATATAATTCTGTGGAAGGGGCAATTAATGGATGTCTTACAGGAGGCAGTATTGCATCTGCTGCTCAAATAATTTGGACCTTTAATCTGGATTTTTAATCATTTGGGAAGCATGTATCTTGGTGATCAAAGAATGCCTATTGTGCATAGAGAGGAGGAAATAGATTTGTGATGCTTTGTATATAGCACTGCCAGCCACCAAGACCAAAAGGCAAGGGATTGTTGATGTGGCACCCAAACTATTTAAAGGCACCAGAGTGCCTGTCCCTCCACTATATGATCCAATAGGTCTGTAGGAAGAATGGGCACACCCCACTTGATCTTTTAAAAAGAAAATGGAAAATTAGACTAGGAAGTGGTAGTTAGAAGAACACATAGAACTTCTTTTTACAAGGCCCACAAATTGGAAGCAGGAAGTTGTGCTGCTATCTCTAAAATGTCAGAGGCTCTAGCCAAATAAGTATCACAAAAATTATGCAGCTGTAGTCCATTTAGTTATTATTATATTTATTGCCAGTATTTGCCCATCAAAGAGTTCACAACTATATGCTCACAATTACAATAGATGTCTAGCCTTGAAGCAAAGGAATAATATTCTTTGGAGAGAAATATAATTTCACAAAAAAATGCTACTTAGACATATTACGTCTGCTTTTTATTTGGCTTAGTAACTATTAATCATCTGTTTTACACCGATTCCTACTAATTCTGAATAGACTCTGCTTGCACGTACAAAAAGCTCTTACAACTATATCTGAGGAATTACATAGGTTGTTTAGACTAAATGCTGTAGGGAAATTTGATGTGCAAACAGCTTTTCAGTAAATGCCACTTCTCATACCATTCCAGTGTCACTTTGCCCAAAAAAAACAAGACATTCCTCTCCTTGCTTGGAAAATGGACTTGTGCCACTACTGTCCACATTGAAAAAATGAAGTATAAAGGTTGCTGTGTTGGCCATTAGAAAAAACACTCAAATCCCTTTTATAGAACTTTTTTAAATGCCAATTCAAATATTAAAATTATATGCAAGCTTCCGAATCCTCATAACTCTTGGTCAAGCTACATGGTAATCATATGAGGTGACCAGTGAATTGATGTTCGAGCCATTTCATCATGAGATGGGAGGTGGAAATAATCAACCAGCATTGGCTTTAGGCTACACCTAAATGTCTAGCTGCTCTGATTTGACCATATTAGCTGTACCTAAAATTATCTTTGGTGCAGCCTGAATTCTTGTTGAATCTCTTCCGTGTGAGTGTGCGGGTATCAGAGAACTACTACTTAGAGATTAGTACCTAGCAATTGGAAGGCAGTTATTCTTAGGAATCATCTCCTTTCATTCAGTGACATAAACTATTTTTCTTTTACAATAGGATCCTGCTGCTGAATTCCATATTCTTTGAGTTACATCTCCTTCAACATTTTGGTTAAAAAATGCAGGTCAATGCAAATGCTTTATCATTAATCATTTTCCCCCTCTCACCTCCAGTTTTTTTTTTTTTTACCTGGCCTGATGAAGAGCATTAAAGTACTTTAAAATTTGCATACTATTTTGTGACATTTCGCTTGGCTCAAAAAAAAAAAAAATTCTACACATCCTCAAAACAGTATTAAGAAAGGGTTCTTCTCTACTTTATTACTCCTGGCAGGATTCTCTTGCACAAGTTCTCCTTCCAATCCTACATTTGTGGAAGTTGCATTGCCTTCTGCTTATAGATATCCTTCTACAATCCAATTATATTAGCTATTGGATTTATATCATACTGATTAAATGAACACGTTTTAATTAATTGATCTGAACTGAAATTCTGATTTCTTGCCTGAGATGGTCTGATCATTTCTAGTTATAACTCAGTACTTACTAAATGTTAATTCCTCTCTATAGTTTGATAATCTGCACCAATAATCTGAGGCAGATGGTTACAGTAACAATGCAGCCAGAGTGATTTGAGCATCCAGTGGAAGGAGACTGAATAGGGGGTCTGGCAATATTGGCAGCTTATTTCATGTCATTACTTATTGCCAAGAATTTTGCAAATTATGCCCCCCCCCAAACCTCACCATTATTAGCAAAGTGAAAATGTCTCTCTTAACCTAAAACATTTGCACCCTTTCAATATACAATTCATATTTTATTTCATGCTGACCACCAAGATTAATATTTTACCAGTCCATGATAAGAAACCAGAACTATTTTTCTGGTGCAGCATACCAAGAATTTCTTATTAATTTACAAAGTATGTGGTTGAAAAATCAACTCACCTATACCCAGAGACTCCTTTTTCCAGAGCTTCAGTGTTTGACTGTGTGATCCTCCTGGGTACTAAAAACCATGTGTGTGCAAGTTGCAATTTGCCAAGCTTGGTGCCCGCCCAGACTCTTGATCAAATATTGGAGTGGCCTCTAAGCAGCAGGCAGTTTGCAGACAGAGTGAAGAGACCTTAAAGCGTTTGGCGTTATAAATAATCCAAGATTTTTTTTCCTCCCTCTCTTTGCAAAAGGTTTGGCAATTTTTTCATCCTCTTTCTGTTTAATAGGTTAGGGGAACCTTGTTTTTAAAGAGTTTGTTCAAAAGCTGCCTGAATTTTCTATCAGGAAGAAACAATGAAGCTGGAAGTAATTGGGGGGTGTGGGGTGGGGAGGAGATGAGGCTGAAATTTGCTGCTTCAAACTTGTGTTTTCTCCTAGTTATTGAAGTGGAAACAAAGATACGAAATTGCAGCTCTCCCTCCAAGCACCAGGATTCTTCAGTGTCCATAGAGAGGTTGACCAACCAAATGTAATTTAGAATGTCATGCTGGCCATGATCAACCATTGATTTGTCTTAATTGGTATCTGGCTCCACTGAAGCCACATGCTGGGTTTGGTCATCTGGTTGGCTGGAGCCAATGATCTGAAAGTGTTGAAGGTGTTCTTTGTAATAACTCTGGTCAGTTTTAGGCTGCTAATTGCTATAAACCTCAGCAGGAGTGGATGATTAATCAAGATGGTTTAACCAAGTTGTCTAATGAATCTGGATGATTTTCTGGAGAATCTTATATGTTAGCAGCCATTCTGTACAACACAAAAGATGGCTAGGCAGTTAACATTATGAGCTTATCCACACAGCTCATTAATGTGTTTTTCTTCTGTCTTTAAAATCTCTTGCCCTCACAACATACATTCTATTGTGCAGCCTGAAGAAAGCCAGTAGAATGGTTGCTGTAACATAGGAGTGGCTAGTGCTGCTGTGGGGACAGCAACATGCTATACAGCAAATAAGGAAGAAAGAGCCAGGTACAGGAGTATTTTGTGTTCTTCAGAGCTTGCTGCCTATTGGCTAGTGAGGCCCTGGTTGAATAACTATCTTTCCCTCTTCTCTTTCCACTATTCACTGGCCCTGTTCGCTCACATAGGGCCGCTCTCCTCAGGGTTCCAACGGCGAGCCAATGTCACCTTGCTGTGCCCAGGGGTAGGGCGTTCTCTGTGGGTGCTCCTACCCTCTGGAATGAATTACCTACTGAGCTCCGGACGGCTCCTGATCTCCGCTCCTTCCATCGGGACTTGAAGACTTGGCTTTTCAAACAAATAGGCTGAGACTGATTCCGAGCTTTATTATTTACTACTAATTAATTATTTGGATTAAATTATGATTTTATTGTACTTGTTTCTTAACTTGTGTTCACTGCCCTGAGTCCTTCGGGAGAATGGCGGCATATAAATACATGTAATAATAATAATAATTGTTGCAATATTTTTTGGATCAGACTCAATAATAATAATGAGAGTTAGAGGTTTAAATATATTTCTCTTTAATTATAATAGGCATTCTATATTCACTGAATATTCACAGATAGAAGCAAAGAAAATGGTGAAGGTGGCTCCTTATATATACAAAGGGTGGAGCCAAGAGTGGGAGTGGTGAATTATGAATACATTAAGAGTCAAAGAATAAGTTAACCCCTGATATCCCATATATACATTATTTACACATTAGGGAATAAGGCATTTACATCTGACAATAATAATAATAATAATAATAATAATAATAATAATAATAATAATAATAATAATAATAATAATAATAATAATAATAATAATAATAATATGGCCATTCCAAATAGGGACTAAATAGGCATTGCTTCCTAATATCAGTTGTGACTGATTTGCTAAATCAGCTCTCTTTCTTTCAGCTCCCAGTCATGGAGGCTGCTCTGATCTGCTCACAGACATTTTTCCAATTGGAATAGTGACCCTGTGGAAGGTCTTCCAGAAAATAAGTATTTCCAGCAATCCCTTACCCACCCACCCCCATTATAACAGTTAGGATTCTCCTTTCTTCAGCAGGGAGACTGGGAGAGACTAAAAGCCCATCAGGGTACCAATCCTATGCATGGACAACTAAGTATCAGATACTATGTTTCCATGGCAGGTTTTCTTGTCTTTTGCCATGGAAAGCATTACTTTCCCACCAGATGATCCTATTCCTTACTATACCAGTGGGCAGGCTACTGTTATGAAGTCATCTCCCCAACAAGTGGCTGTCTTGGAGCTTGAACATGGAGGATGCAGAGATAAATTCAATGGATTCCAGACACTCTGTTTGTTTCAGCAGAGCTAAACCAATACCTTAATTAATTGCCACCAAGAAGAGGCAATTAATTTGATCGTTAGAATGCTGCAACTCAAGCGGAGGAACTTTTAAGACAGATTGAACAAGGAGTTAGGCCTTTTTAAGGCCCATCTGAAATGCTATTTCAGGATGGGGGCTCAACAAAGAAGGTTTTTACCTCTATTTATATTATATCTGCATTCCTTGTGTTTCTAACCACATGGCCAAATAAAATGTTCTGTTCTGTTCTGTTCTGTTCTGTTCTGTTCTGTTCTGTTCTATTTCGTTCTGTTCCACTCCACTCCACTCCAGATAGAATACACCAGTAACACTTTCTATATAATACTTCAATTGAGATATTAGGAAAATGGAGCCAGAAAACTCAAAAGATCTCTGTCAGCATTTTTTATCATTCTTGTAGACAACCTCAAGCATATTCACCATTTGCATCAATTCCTCCTCTCTCCCGAGTGGAGCTTGTAGCAAATTGTCTCTCTAAAGACCCATCACTCTTAAATAATTTCTCCCAGTTCACTACTCTTGACCTTGGGTTCTCTGTAATCCTTTTGCCCTTCTGACATTTCACTGCATAGTATTTCCGCTCCATATTATTTGAGATATTCTATGCTAAATCCTTTACAATAATTTCATGAAGCAGCAAAAAAAGATTGTGCATGCTTACAGACACCTCCCTAAATGGAACCACATATCTTGGAAATAACCTCTAAGTATAATGCAGTGCGAGGGCTGAACTGCATCTATTCTTCTAATAGCATTATTGAATATAATATCAACCACGCTGCCAAATTTTAAGGGAATGTCAGAGGAAACACTGACTTTTATGAGTGGCACTGATAAAACACACACCATTGGTGGGCACAACACATTAAAAACAACAATTTAACTGATAGAGTCCTGAGATTACAAGATAAGATACAGTACTACTCTTGAATACAAGACAACTCTGTGGTCTATGTCAAAACACAAAGACATTCTTGCAATTGTAGGAGGTTGAAGGATTCTGTATGTGTATGTAATTATTTCTGAGATTAAGAATATAACCTTAACAAGGATTAGTGGTTTTATAACTACAAAACATAACATTATACTAGGAGAAGAGTAAATGAGAATGTGTTTCATGTGTATATGTCAGGGAAGAAAGGCAGAAGGTAGTGACCTTAGATTAGCAGCGTCACAGACAAAGAATAGACAGAGATAGACACAGAGTAAAGTCTTAACTGTCTGCTCCCCACTGTTCCCTTATGGTCAATAGATTATTAAGTGCTGAAGAGTCAATGCCAATAGATTTAAACCTCCCGCAGCATATCCATAATATTTCCAATTTAATTAAAATTGATTCCACTTTGGTGAAATTCCTAAGGAAAAAGGTCAATGACCATTAAATTGGAAAGAGCTTTTCTTTTTGATTAATCTGCTAATTAACATACAATCCTGGACAGTGCCAAATTTGACACACATGGAATGGAGTTGGTGAAAGATGAATTTTATCAGTTAACAGTAGTTAGCATAACATTTTTACACCAGTGGTGGGTTGCCCCCGGTTCGCACCGGTTCTATAGAACCGGTAGTAAAACCGGCGGGAAGCCCTGCCCACTGACCCTGATATCATGAAAACGCTTCTGTGCATGTGCAAAAGCTTCTGAGCGCAAGCGCGCAAGAGCAAAGCAAGCGCTTGCGTGCGGCCCCGTTGCAAACTGGTAGTAAAGGTAAGTGGAACCCACCTCTGTTTTACACTATTATTGCCTTGTGCGGAATTGCCTTTTATTTATAATATTAGTTAAGTAGGGGCAATAGAGGAAAGTGTTTGAATGTAGAAATTTAAGATACAGTACTGGAATAATTTTCCTCAAAGCAACACTCTATTTTTGTAACTACCTGAGGCTAGTTGCCAGCAACTGTGAAAACATTGTCTTAATCTCTTTTGGTAGTCACATTTCAAGCTACAAAATTGATTCTCTTTGGTAACGTGGAAATATGATCTGTTTTTCTGACTACAAAAATATTAAATGGGCTTTATTGCCCATCTGGTAACGTATCTATTCAAACACTTAGCCAACTTGTCATGTTTCACTTGACACATAACACAACATTACAACTAATAAGAGATTAACTCACAAAACCCAGTTAAAAACATAAACATACAGTATATCAATATATTCTAAGATACATCTGCTCAATTAAATGTATTTGTAGGGGGCAATTATTATTTATAGTACTGGATGTTTGAGAACTGAAGAGTGAACTTCTTATGACTTATAAAAAAACCTTAATGCTGGTAGGATCAGCACTTTTTGTTTTTTTTAAAAAAGCAGTAGTAGTACTTTAAAAAAAAAGAAAAGCAAGAGAGTACCCATAAAAATAAAGTGTAGGGATTTTAATATGTACGCTCAGTGATATCTCTTTGTGATAATTATGATGAAACTTTTAAAAGCCAGGTTTTCTACTATCGTGCTGACCTTCTACAGAAGGTGCAATTTCATTTCTCCAACCATCCATGTAAACCCTACTCAAAGGAGACAGAAGATCAATTTTTCTATGTTACTTCACACCTGGTGGCTGTACTCATTGATGGTGACTGGCATTGCTAGAAACTTATTTCCAAGCCTGCCCCCAAAGCAGAAGAACTAAAAATACAAAGATCTGTACATGTATAAACAAAATGTCTTCTTTGATCCAATTGCACCTGAGAGGAGACGTATGAACATTAGCTGAGCCATATTTATTTTGTTGAGAAAGCTCAAATAATTCTTTCCAATTGACAATAATTATCTCTTTGGGGCTTACTTATTTTACCTCATGATTAGAGTCCAACGAACTGCTTTCATGTTTCAATTCCTGTACTCTGTTCTGTTTGA